CTTCTAGGGTGAATTTTCACAAGGTCAAACACTCTTATTGTTCATGTCCCAATTAAGGACATTTAATCAAGTGATTGACTCTACTTTATTTTCTTTTTGTCTTGAAGTTGATAGCCAGAGCTTCTTCCAAACCTGGAATAATACTTCCCAAGGTAGCTCAGTGGTTTGGGCTTGTGGCTCTGTGCAGAAGACCCTTGGGAATGCAATGAGCTGTGGAGCCCCATAGCCCAAAACGACTCCTGGGCTGTGTGGGGCAGCCCCTTGGGGTGGGCAGCTGTGGGAGCTGCTGAGGGTCCCCCAGGGTGGTAGCAGGGGGTGGCAGCCTGGTACAGGGATCCCCAGTAGGGTCTGCAGGCAATTCCAGCTCCTGGCTCACTCCTTTCTCTAGAGGATGCTGAAGCTGGGCACCCCAACTTTAAATGGAAGGTCCTTTCAAATACTGGGAAACAATTCCTCCCACCCCACTGCCTGCTGGGGCAGCAGCCGCTGCCGTGTGCAGGGTTGGCTCAGGACACTGCTGCGGCTTAGCTGCAGACGTGTCCTTTTGCTTTTGTCAGCTCCAGTTACAAATTCAGGAGCTGATTTGGGGAAAAAGAACAAACAAACAAACAAACAAACGTTTGCAGGCTGGCGCTGCTCTGTGGCTGCCACACAGCTCCTTGCTTCACGCCTTAAAAAATAGAATGAATTAGCAGGGGCTTAAATTACGTGTTCCCCATGCACCCTCGCCATCCCGGCGCTGGCAGGGACAGGACAGAGCGCCCTGTCCCCAGGTGTGTGGGGATCTTGGGTTCCTCCTTCCCCACCTGCTGTGACCCAGCTGAGCTATTCCTGGCTCTGCTCTGACCTTGGGCACGGCTCAGATGCTGCAGCACGGCGGGCGACGCGCGCCCGACTCCGCAGACTGTGCTAACGCCCGGGGACAGGCGACAGGCTCCAGCTCACGCTGGAAATAGCAGCTTCTGCAAAGCTGGCACATGGAGGGGGGGTCTCTGGGAAGATGAGCAGCTCTGCTCTGCCTGCGACGTGCAGTTTGGCAGGGTTTGGGAATGGCAAAAGTTCGGGCTCCCAGGCAGCTCCCTGTCCTCTCTGCCTGCATGTGCTGCTGGGCACAGGTTGGTGCTGTTGGAGGGCACTGTTCCTGCTGCTGTGGCACTGGCACAGGGCTGGGTTTGCTGAGTGTCCCCTCTCCTCTCACCAGGCGCCAAGCACAAGTCAATGCTGGAAGGTCATGGCACCCAACTGCGGCGAGGCCGGGGCAAGCTGCTCTCTCGGGCAGGGCACAAGTCCAAGCGGATCGGGAACAAGGGCAGCATCAACATCCAGAACAAGGCATTTCACTGCCAAGTGTGCGAGATCTATGTCAACTCTGAGACCCAGCTCAAGCAGGTGACAATGCTCTGGGAGTGCCTGGGCACTGGGTGTGGGCGTGCAGGGCCTCAGGGTGTGGGTACCTGATGGCCCCTGCAGGGTGATGGTGTCCCCACAGACCTGAGCCACACAGTACCCGGCTGTCCTGGCTCCCAGTGATCCAGCTGTTTTCCTCCCCAGCACATGAGCAGCCGGAGGCACAAAGACAGGCTGGCAGGGAAGCCACCCAAGCCCAAGTACAGCCCCTACAACAAGCTGCAGAAGAATGCTGCCCTCGCAGTGAGTATTCTCAAGGTACCTGTCTCCCTGCACAGCACTCTCTCAGTTTGTTCACAGAGCCTCGCTCACCATCAGCAATTCTTTCAGTGAGTTAAGGGAGCTGATTCTCTTAAACCTTGGTTTCCATCACCACAGCTCAGCTTCTCCCCTCAAGGATGAGCTGTGGTGGTGGGTTTTGAGTCACGGGGAAAACTTGGGAGTGCTTTGGCAGCAGCATTCACAATGGCAGCACTTGTGATTCCTCCACCTCTTCTGCAGTCTCACGGTGTCTCCTCCTCCCTCCCTGCAGTCCAAGCTGGCTTTGCAGAAGCACCTCACCAAAACCCTGGCAACCCGTTTCCTGCCGAGCCCGCTCACCGCCGCTGCTGTCTGCGCCATGCCTGGACCCCTTGCCTTGCGACCAGCAGCTGCCACCACCCTGTTCCAAGCCCCGATCCTCGGACCAGCCCTTTTCCGAACGCCGCCGGCCCACGTCCGCCCCACGCCGGGTCCCATCGTCTTCGCACCCTACTAGAGCTGCCGGCCCACCGAGGGTCTGTCCGCTGCAGCTGGGCTGGGCTGCGGGGGCTGCGCGCTGGGGGCAGCGCTCCTGGTACCTGCTCTCCTGGCTGGTGGGAAAACGTAGTCGTAGACATCAACCCCGGCTTCTCCTTTGCTCGGAGAGGGCTCCCACTGGAGAGAGGTGCCCCGACAGAGCCTGGCCAGCCCCGCCGCGCATCCCCAGCGCTCCCCCAGCCTGTGCTGGTCCCCTGCTCAGCAGATGAGCCCAGGCAGTGCATGGAAGGGACAGTGTCCAAATCAGCAGGACCATCTCATGGCCAGAGCCTGCCTGTCCTTGGCCTGGTGGTTGTTTCTTCATCGCCCTCCCAGTTACCAGGCTGGAAGGAGAGGAGCTGGCTGGTCCCTGGGAGAAGGAGCATCCCTGTGGTCCCTGCCGGTGCAGTCGGAAGGGAACTGCGAGGGGAATCTCAGCACAGCTCTTACTGGGAGAAACAACCCCAGCACAAGTGGGAAGCTGACAGTTTCTCTCTCAGCCTGGGCTGGCTGTGCCCTTGCCAGCCCTGCACCTACCTGTGCTGGCAGGGGGTTTCTGTGCCACCCACCAGCCCCCCGTCCCCACAATTCCCTATATCCCACCAGCCAAAGAGCCCCCGTGGTGGCAGGCACCGGCCACACTGACCGTATCCTCACTCCGAGAGCAATAGCTGACCCCAGGGCTGGTGCCTCCTCCCTCCAAAGCACACGGGCCCTGCCCTGGCCCCAGAAGCACACGATGGGCACATGGCTATGCTGGGCCCCACTCATGCCCAGCGAGGCCGGGGGTGCCAGGCTTGTCCAGTGCTGGCTCCCCAAGGAGGTGACCCTGTGCTTGGCACCTGTCCTTGTCTCTGTCCCACCGTGGGGACAGCCCTGCCCCTACCTCCCGGGAGACGCTGTGAGGCTGAGTGAATGTCCCTAAAGCACTTTCAGTTCTCCAGTGAAAGGCAACGCTGCTGCTCACCTGCCGTGCACAGCCCTCCAATCCCATCCTAGTTAGGAGCTTCCAGGAGGTTACTGATGATTCCCGAAATCAAAGGTGTCCTCAGCAGCCCGGACAATCAGGTGGCAGGTGCACCCATAGCCTGCAGAGTGCCAGGCTCTGGAGGGACCCCGAGGCCATAGCTCTGCATTTCACTGTGCTCAGACAGCCCAACCATGACCTGTCTGGGACTGTCACCGCAGCGCTCTGGGTGCCCAGCACACTGCTGTACATAGAGAGAGTTGCATCCCAAATGGACCTTTCTCTGGAGGAACACCCCACCCTGATCTATGCAATCCAGGGGGCAGCTCACCCACCCACCGCATTGGCCGCCTGCGATTCCCTTTGGTGCTGACGCATCCCTGCAGCCAGAGCCGTGGTGGCAGCAGAAGAACCAACATGACACTGAGCTCTGTCCTGTCCCTGGCCCAGGGTGCTGGTTCACACCTCTGCTGTGACTCCCATTCCCTCCCAGCCCTTGGGAAGAGGCAGGTTGGTGTGTGAACCTGGGAATCCACACGCACAAGCACACATATCTGACGTCTTGGCCATAAGCAGCGCCTGGATTTCAGAAGGATTTTGCCCAGCGTGCTCCACCGATGCTCAGGATGGGGCCTGGCACGGGAAGGTGACCAGGAAGCGGCCAATGGGGGACTCAGATGGCTGAAACATATCTGCTTCCCATGGCTGGAGCCTGAAACATATCTGCTTCCCATGGCTGGAGCCTTGGCAAGGGCAGGAAAGCTGCAGGAAGGAGCACACACCTGCAGGGTCTGTGGGCAGCACCAACCATGGAGCCACCACTGTGCTCCTGCCACGGAGACAGGAGAGTGAGGGAGCCCCTGGGTATGAATTCACCTGCTCAGGGCATCCCTTCCCCAGGGAAGGAGGAGAGTGGGGAGAGGGCAGCTGTGAGAAGAGAGTTACCAGCTGTGAGAGAAGAGTTACCAGCTGTGCATGGAAACAGTGGAAAGGTCTTGCAGCAGTGGTGGGATATGTGGCGTGGAGCACAGATGAGGGAAGCAAGGCTCCCAGCAGAAACGGCTTTACCAGGGATAGGGAGATGGTCCCACAGCCCAGGGGACACGCAGGGACCCCACATCCCAGGGGACAGGAGCCTGTGCTGGTGGGGTCCCAGGGGACAGGAGGGACGCTGTCCTCATCCCCCATTGCCAAGCAGCCCATGGCTGGTGTGTCCCCAGCCACCCCTGCCCGTCTCACTGTGCCCTTCCCAGGCCCTTGGGGTCACCCCCAGTCCAGCAGGACAATGGGTCCCCTCCTGTGCCATGAGCCCCTGGTGCCATGCCCAGCCCCTCAGAAGCCTGGGGAGCCAGGAGCAGCTGGGCTCCAGCCTGCAGAGCCACATGGCACCAGTGGGCCTGTTTCCCTCCATTGTTCCAAAAAGCCTGTGCTGGAGCCATGGCTGCTCCTTGTCCCTCACCAGTGGAGTCCTGACGCACTCCTGTTCTTGGCACTTTAACCCTGTGAAAGCCATTCCTTCTAGACAATAATACTGCAATGAGCTGCGTAAGAAACCCCCGTTATGGCATCCCCCAAATCCCCTCCTGCTCTCCAAAGCATTTACTGCCTTTGACTTAGCACATGCTGTACTAGGAGTAGGGATAGTCCATAGCGCTCGGTAACGTGTGCCCCTCTGTAAATAACCTTGGAGTGATGTGAAATTTGATTCAAAACACCAGAAAAAAAAAAAACAAACCAAACCCAAAATGGAATATCCAGACTCTAGGGACTTGGCCAGTACCCTCCTGTAATGTTCATTGTATATTTTTTTGATGTACTATAACTGTTGGGAAAAAAAAAAAGGAAAATATTTTGATAACCGAATCTCATCGCTTTATTGTGTTACTCAGTAAATAAAAGGAACAAGTATAAACACACTGGGGCTTTTCATCAATTCCTTTCCTACATCCAGACTACCTGAAGGGAATAAGTGTTGCTGGGTAAGGCTGGGACACCTGTGCCTTGTCTTAAGGTAGTTCTGAGAAGAGGCAGCATTGTGACAGGTGGGCAGTGAGAGCTGCCATAGCCCAAAGCATCTGGGGTGTGCATGGTAAGTACAGTCCCACTCCTCCAAGGATCTAGGTATGCAGGTGAAGCACAACCCCATCTCCTCCAAGCTCATGGCTGAGTCTGCACTCAGGAAGAGGAAGGCTGGAATGGTGGATTTGGGCACTCTGCCCTCAGGAACAGCACCTGCCCTGCTCTAGGCATTCCCTGGTGCAGCATGTCTGGATATTCCAGTGCATAAAGGAGCAGTGGACACTGCCAGGGTAAGGGACAAGCTGCCAGGGAGCAGCACAGAGGCAAGGAGAGCTGCTTGGCTGGAGGCAGGGCCAGCAAACAGGCCCTGCCCACATGCTATCAGGAAATACAAAAAGAGGGAGTTGTTCTCTCCAGATGTGGAGCTGATGCCCACGCTCCAGCCAGCCTGTGCTGTGCCTCTGTTCCACTCTCCCAGCCTGGACCTGAGAGCAGAGGGGGTCACTGAGTGAATCCTGACCTTCCTGTAGCACCTCCGACAGCTGCAGGGGCTGGGCAGGGAGAGGAGTGGTTCTGTCCCACTGCCTCTCTTGTCCACCAGGACCATCCCTAGCCCTGGCATGATTGTTCCTCCTGGTCACCTGCTTCCTACAGGCTCTGTGACACCAGACTCAGCAGGAGGTGTGTGCGAGGGAAGCAGGAAGGTGAGGAAGAGGAGGTGGCAACGGAAGGGAAGGGGAAGCAGGCTCATCCATCCATGGATCCACTGCCCTTGTTCTTGCGGCTCAGGGGGAAGGCAGATTTGCTCTGTGGCTGTGTCATCTTGCTGGCCAGGTAGATGAAGGGCTCGATCAGCGTGCGCCGGTCAGCCACGGACACCTCCCACAGCTTCACCTTCTCACCCTTGGCCCAGTGCTGGGCTGCATCATGGTCCACCCGGCGCTGCTCCTGCAGGTCACACTTGTTGCCCAAAACCACAATGGTGACCTGTTCCAAAAGGGTGAGAAGGGCCCCTGACAACCAAGTGCAAAGCTGCAGGGCTGGCTGGCTCTGCCATGAGCCCCTCAGTGGTGGGCCTGGCCCTGACGCTGATTCCCCGTCCATGTCAAGGCCTTTTGAAACCCAGTGCTCTCAGTGCTCCCTTCCCCTCCTGCTGGGGTCTGTGTGTCCCAAACCAGCCCCAAAGTGGAAGGAGCTTTTGAGCACCTGTATGCTCAGAGAGCATGCCAGGAGACAGCCTTTTACTGCTGGGAGTCTCCCATATCAGCGACCCATCAGTATCTTGTGACAGGCTGGAGAAAACAAAGGTGAGAACCTGCCCCAGGGGAGCAGATCCCACTCCGCAGCCCCTTCTCCGGGGGGACTCACCTCCTTCTTGTCCTTGGACTTGTCGATCTCCTTCTTGAGCAGCTCGACACGCTTGAAGGACTCCTTGCTGTCGGTGCTGTAGACCAGCACGTAGCCGTCGGTGCAGGAGAAGCAGTGCTTGGGCAGCTCCAGCCCGTCCCGCAGCCCCCGCGTGTCGTAGAAGCGCACCTGCTCCCTCACGCCCCGGTCGGTCTCGATGGAGCCCACGTAAATGTCCTCCTGGGTCTCGATCATCTCCGAGCCTGCCGGGGGTGGGCAGGGGACACGTGGGAACGCTGCCGGGGCCCTGGCCGGTGTGTGGGGGTGACATGGGGGATCCCCAGAGCCAGCACTGCCCAGGGCCCGACCAGCTACGCCCGGGGAGCCGCGGAGCGGCCTCTACCCTGCGCCGCACTCACCGACCACATGGTTCCCGTAGAGCAGCTGCTCCAGGATGGAGGTTTTCCCGACCGAGGCCTGCCCGCACACCACCACCTTGCAGCTCTTGCCCATCCCGGCTCACCGGGGCGGGCGCGGCCGAGCCTCACCGGCAGCGGCGGGAGGGACGCGGCGGCACCACAGCGCTCCCCTGTGGGCGGGAGGACCGCGAGAGCCGGCGCTGCCCCGCTATGGGAAGGGCCGTGGTGTGGATAAGCCACGCCCACCGCCCGGTCGAGTTCCGCCCTCCTCCCGGTACCGGCCCCTCCCGATGCCGCCGCCGGGCTCCTCCGCGGGCGCCCCCTGCCGGTCGGGCCCCGCCCCGCTCCACCGGCGGAGGTCCCGCCCGTTCCGGCCCTCGCCCCGCCCCGCCCCGGTCCGGCCCAGCCCCGCGCGGTAAGATGGCGGCGGCGGCGGCGGCTGAGGCCGAGTGCGATGTGGTCATGGCGGCGCCCGACGGGCCCGGCGAGACCGACAGCGACGAAGAGGCGCGCAGGTAGAGCGGCGGTCCGGGCGGGGAAAGGGCGGCCCCTGTCCCTCCCGGTGGGCGCACCGCGGCCCGGCGAGGCTGGAGTGCCGCAGGGCCCGCGGCCGCGGTGCTCGGCAGGGCCGGGAGCGCGCCCGGGGACTGCGGTCGGTCCTTGCCCGGGCGGACCCCGCGGGCAAAGTCCTGTGTGCGGGCCGGCCGGGGGCGGCGGCGCCCCGGGCCCGGCGGGCGGTGACAGCCTCGGGCCGCACGCGGCGGGGCCCGGGAGGCGCTGGCTTTGCGGTGCCGGTGTGTCCCAGCGAGCTCCGGGATTAGAACACCCACCCGTTACCGGGGTGGCCCAGAAATGCAGTGTCCCGAGGCCACACACCCTCACCGGTGCCGAGGGAGCGTCCTCCCCCTCGCCGGGGAGGGGAGGATTAAACTCGTGGGAAGGGGAGGCTCCAAACTCCTGAACCCTTTGCTGCTCCGTCCCCGCGTCCTCCCGGTCCTGTTCCGTTTGAAGCCTGCCCCGAGTGACTCCATCCTGCCTTGCTGTGGGTAACGGGAAGGACGCAGAGCGCTGCCCCGGGAATGCTCCATCATCCCGGAGCTCCCGGTTTGTCCGTGCTGTGCCCGGGGGAGCTGCCAGTGTCACCTGAGGCAGGGCGAGGTGGGATCCCCACCTTTCCCACACGTTTTCCCCCCAGGAGCTGTGGGAAGGTCCCTGTCCTGGAAACTCCAGTGGTTTTCCATAGTGGCAGGTGCTGGGTTCATATCCCTGGAAGGAAAGAGGTGTTCCTGGAGGAGCTGAGGTGTTTGCTCTGGAAGATGATGCAGTGGAATGAAGAAAAGGAAACAAACCCAAAAGTGGCCTCTGAGGAATGGTGGTTTCAGGCTCCCGTTGATGGCTGAAGGGATTCTGTGGAATTGAGGCCCGAGGAGCAGCTCCCTGGGGAGATCCTGCTGAGCAGGAAAGGAGGAGCTGCTGAAGAGGCACTTGGGGCTCGCAGAGCAGCGCCCAGCCTGCGGGGCTGGGACGGGCCTGTGCGGGCACATCCCTGCCCTCTGGGCAGGCGAAATGTGGCCTTTGAAACGGTGGAAATTCACAGAGGTAAAACCCTGGCTGAAGGCACAGGTGTCTGCAGGTAGTGACCTCCAGCTCCTGTTCTCTTTCATTAGGTGCTTTCACAATGTTTCCTTTTCGTGTTCTCTTGGGAATGTTGTACCTTTCCCTTGCTAAAATGGATCCGTATGGGCAGGAGCTAATTCCTTGGTGTTGCTCTGGGGGAGCCAGCCCTGCACACCCCGATTTCTTTGCAGTTCTGTGCATTAACCTCTTCCCTACCCCAGCCCTTCCCGTTTCACTGTGGTAGCTCAGTTGCTCTCGTGGAAATCAGAAGCCAGCCCTGCACACCCCGATTTCTTTGCAGTTCCCCAGCCTTTCCTGTTTCACTGTGGTAGCTCAGTTGCTCTTGTGGAAATCAGTGCAATAACTGCTTTATTGGTGTGGAGCTGGAGCTCAGAAGGTGTCAGGTGTTTGTGAAGCATCCCAGGCCAGGTAAGAGCTGGGTGAGCTCCTCATGGTACACACTGATTTGGTGCAGCCTTTGGGGTGTATCTGCGCTCACTTCCATAAAAATCAGCAAAAGTAAGGGGAAACCTTTTCAGAATCCTTATGATAACTCAACAATGAGGGTTCCATGTCCAGTTTAGGGATTACAGTAGAGCAGAATATGGATATTTTGCTCTAGGACTCACCTTTGTCCAAATGCACAATTGTGTTTTCCGTAGCTTAATAAAACTGGAAAGTTAGAAAATGTGCAAAAGGGGAGATCTGCATTTCAGAATGGCTGTAACTAACGCCCTGAAGCAGCTGCAGACATGCCAGAGGGCTCCCAGGGTGTCCAGGGCACAGGAATGGAGTGTGGTCACAGGATAATTATTGTCTGCTGCTGCCTCATGGATTGTTGGGGTCCTGGCAGAAAGTGTTGATGTAATTGTGTTAATTTTATCCGTTGGTGCACCAGGGCAGAGCAGCTGATGAGCAGGACTGGGCCTCACTTGTTTCTTCATTAATTTTAAAGGTTTCTCACCCATGGGAACAGTTTTTCCCTGCTCCCAGCTGCTTTGTGAGCTTGGGCCCCTGGAGCTTTGCCAGGGAGAATTTCCTTGTCATCTTCCTGGCACCTCTGAGTTCTGGCTCCCATGCTTGCTCCAGGCTGGATCTTTCTCCTCCTTCTTCAGCACTGGAACATATGGAAGCTTTGTTTTGTTAAAAAACCTCCAGCTGTCTGGAAAATACTGCTTGGAGATTGCAGAGCCCCTGCTGCAGGCTTGGGATGTCTTGGTGCCTCTTTGGGGGCATCAACATTTCCCACAGCAGAGTGATGAGCACGGAGTGGCCCACACCGAGTCCTGGAGGTTCTGGCCTGGCGAGGCTGAGGGTCACTGGCCAGGTCTGCAGGTGTTCCCTGGAGCTTGTCAGGTGTTGGTGAGCACCAAGAGGCTTTTCCAGTGCATGGAGTGAGGTGTATCTCAGCGAGGCTCCTCCAGAATAGATGTAACTTCTGGCCAGTTTTGTGGCAGCGCTGGCAGGAGGGGGTGAATCATCTGAGGGGCACCAGGTCGTTCTGGGATAACCTGGAAATGGCTCTCCTACTCCTGTTCTGCCCATACATGGACACTTGGGTTTCCCAGGTGATAAACCCATTTTACTCATCTGGAATTATTTGTGATCTCATGGTCATACCAGAAGCAGCACAAGGTACTTGTGTAGTTGTTTGCTTCCCTGTGCATCTGCAGAGTGTTTGAATATCTAACTTAGGCAGCTGTTTTATCCAGAAGGAAAAGGTGATCCATACCTACAGTTTCAACCTATTTCTTTAACATGACATGTGCTTTTTTGAGGTGAATCGTAATGTAGATGCAGTTGTTTTCCTGTGGAATTCTTAAGCTGGTTGGCTTCCTTCATTCAAGAGGAATTGCTTCCTTCAAAAAAAAAAGCAGTCTCAGGGTGATTCTAGACCGTTCCATGGATTTTCACAAAAGTTATGCTGTGGCCCTGCCAGGCAGGATGGGGGCATTGCTGGGAATTAGGTTAATTCTGAGCTCCGGGAATTACATAACGGCACAATTAAAGCTGGGGCTCGGCTGCTCTTCTCACTCGTGGCTGCAGGGAAGGTTTGGGTCAATTCTTGGATTTCTCGTGGCGTATTTTGGTCCTTGTGGCTCTTTTGGCCTTCTGAGTTTGCCCTCGGTTATGAGGAACGTTCTGAGGGTTTGAGCACCTTGTGGGTTCAGGTTCAGCTCTGCTCTTGGGGAGGCTCAAGGCAGCCCTTTGTTACGTTTCCATGGGTGAGTCCTTGGCCCATTCACGTAGATATTTGCATGTCCAGACTCAGATTTCCCGGGCTGGGGGCTGTGTGGAGTCTTTGCCATGGTGTCTGTGCGTTGGGGGGAGCTGATGTGCCAGGAATCAGCTCTGCTCTGCCCAGCAGGGCAGCAGCCTGTCACACACCACTGTGTGTGACCACTGCCTCAGGGAGCCTGTCCCACTGCCCACACACCCTCTGGGGGAGAAGAATCTTTTCCTAAAATCCAACCTAACCCTCCTTCACCCAGCTCCGGCCATACCCAGGGGTCACCAGAGAGAAGAGCTCAGTGCTTGCCCCTCTGCAGCCCCCCACGAGGAAGTTGTAAATATATATTCCTTTATGCCTAAATCCTCACTCAGTGTCAAACCTCACCTGAGGACAGGTCTCTAAAGTGCACCCTGTGTGTCTTTCTGGAGTGTTTTGTTTCTCTTCCAAGTTCTGAAAGAAGGGAAGGGAGGGTATTGTATGTCCAGGGGCAAACATGATGGCTAATTTTAAGCTCTAGACATCTGCCTGCTGTAAACTGAATTGAGATCACACAACTTATTTTACCCCAGCGGCTGAGTCACATCTGACAGCTGAGAATCTGGGTGGGATTTCACCCCCAAAAATGCCTGATAAAGGCACCAGATCCTATTGAAGGAAAAGCCTCTGCAAGAACTGCACAAAATTGCCAGAGCATAACAGGAAAGATTACTTGGTCAGGATAGGATTTTGGAGCCTTCCTTAAATCCTGGCTATTTTAGGGTTTTGCCACCATTTCATAATGGAGGCAAGCAGTGAAGTGGGAGTGAGGGTCAGGAGAGCTGGGAGATAGTGACTCTGCCACCTGCTTAGGTGTTGGATTTCTGTCACTGGTGGTATTGCCTTGGCACATCCCTGCCCAGGGGCTGTGCCAAGCACATCTGGATCAAGAGCTGCTGGGTTACAGATCCCTGAAGGTTCCCATGACAGAAAATCAGGTGTCTGCAGGAGTCTCATTGGGAGCTGGAGTGGGAGGTGGAAGCCACGATCGGCACTCGAGCGGGGGCAGCGTGTGGAAGCTCTGAGGAGGAGGCAGGAGTTGTTAGGCAAGCGTGGGATTGTGTCACTGTGCACAGGATGGCTTCTCCCAGAGCTGCTGTGCTGGGAACGAGCAGGGATTGAGCTTTCACAGGGCATGGGGAGGAGAAGGAGCCTTGTGCTGGCTCCTCTCTCCCCAGGCAGGCAGCGAGCTCCATCCTCAGAGCTTGAGTGTGCGAGGGAGGATCAGCACATGCAGCTGCTGCTGGTCTCCCTTGGTCTCCAGCTGTGCCAGAAGAGGTTCAGGTTGGACGTGGGGTGGAATTTCTTTTCAGAAAGGGTTGTCCAGGGAGCAGTTGGAGTTCCCGTCTCTGGAGATGTTCGAGGAGTGACTGGACATGACACTCTGTGCTC